CGGTCGCCTGTCAGCATCCAGGCGGCTAGTTTTGTTGCAGATACCAGCAAGATTTGGAGAACTGTTTTTCGTGTTTTGGAGAGTGAGGAGGGGCAAACAGGCCCGTGAACATTCATGTGTGTAACCAATCAATCAACCAAACGCACCGGGAGGTGTCTGCACTTTCGATGAGAAAATTATATATCCAACCAGGCTTAAGCGTGCGAGAAGCACTTCTCATAACAGTATACTAGTAAGAGATCATTTTGGGCAGAGAGTTTCTCATTATGGACCGTTCGTGAAGGAGCACGCGAGGCATCACTCTTGCTCGACAGTTGTTTTCACGCTAAACCCCTGTTTTTTGTTTTGTTTTGTTTTGTGTCGCCCGTCGGCTGCTCGGGAGACGGGGTAGCTTTGATGGCCTCAAACCGTGCGTGTGATGCGTTTTCAAGCTACTGCCGTTCCCCGCTATTGTTTCTAGTCTTCCCGGACCGTCTCGCTCCGGATCGCTCCCCCCCCCCGCGTGCTCGGCAAGCGGCCCGACATTACGGGGAGCAATTTGCGAGGATAATGAGGGGTTAATATCGGCAAAATGGTATTATGCATGACAAGTGGTCGGGTCGGTTGGGTGTAGGTACAGGAATGTCCAAGGGCGTTGTGGCCAGGAATCATTAATATGCTAATATTGTGTGCAAACACTGGATAAATATTCGAGGTTGACGGCGTACAAGCTTGCAGAAATAGTTTTATATAAAGCCCTGTAACAAGGTTGATTATATTATTCGGTGAGCTATGCACAAAACTACGGTGCTGTAAAAACTGCATCAGTAGATGGTTTAGATGGTTGCCATAGCAGGTTTGCCATGCGGTATGTACATAAATATAACCTGTGACCTTGAAAATCGACATCCAGATGCCGAAATGTGAATGGTTCCAGAAATGACGAAGTGCAATAATTCAGACGAACCTTAACAGCTCAAGTAATTGGTGAGGAATAGGTTCGGAAAAATGTGGAGTGGTAAAAAAGTAATTGCACATCCTGTCCACGTGCGATGCTCGTGGTTTGGAAGCTACACAAACAGTCCGGTCTGACAAATGAGATGTTTGGAATTATAGAAATTGGTTTTTTAATTAATTAACATAACATGTGAGGAAACTCGAGACGTGTACACAGGGAAAACTGAACCTCCCTTTTACTTCTGCAGTAGTTCCCCGCAAGGGACGGTAATTGTACAGGTTTTGCTTAAAGCCAACTGTCGTAGTTGTTGTGTGATCGTCGACACAAGTGCAATGTTTGAAGCATTTGTCGACAGTAAGCCAACTGTCGTAGTTGTTGTGTGATCGTCGACACAACTGCAATGTTTGAAGCATTTGTCGACAGTAACGAACGAAGGTTAACGGCATACGCTCCCTTCATTCCCCAGACTGAATGTTCACTCCATTAGATTGCAGATTCACTCCTGAGACTGAAAGTTGGGACCAGACGAATTTGAGTGATTTACTTTAATAGATCAAATCTCAATCGAGTGTCCACTGAAAAGGTTTTTTTTTCAAACTATTTCAGTCTAATTCAGAGTGATTTTTTTTTTACTCTGAAATGCCTAGTCCTTTATTTCACTCTTTTACATTCAAAAAGTATATACGTGTATTTACCGGTATTTACTGTGTTGAATAACTTGACTGTTTTTCCATATGGACAAAGTATGAGTAAAAATGACCTCGGCCCAGAAAAATATAATTGGCCTTCACGCACATCGAACTTTATTATGCAGAAACGATGCATCTAGTTCTATGGTCGAAAAAAGTGCACCTTGTGGTAGCTGTGAAAGATTCTCTTTTCACATAGCTTCGTTGTATAGTTGAAATAAGGCCACGTTTGCCTCAAATCATCAGTTATTTTTCGACCCTTCCCCTTTACGAAGCCTGGAGCGCGTTGTTGTATTGTGACACATTGGCCCAAGTGGGCATTTTGTGCTTCTGAGTAACAATCGCCTAATCTTTCTCACAGCTGTTACGTTTTACGCGCGATGTCCCGTTTGTTTTGAACGCCTGCATTTGCTCGGTCCGTTCGCGAACGGCTCAAAGCTACAGTCGTGGAGCTCTTTCACTGCCCCACAACAGAGCAGTTCCACAGACATACATAGCGCCCCCACTTAAGTATCGTTTAAAAATGGCTGGCGAAACCAGAACTCAATGGCTAGGATGACCGAGAAAGGTCGTTTAATTGTCTGTTAATTTTGTCGAAATAAAGATCTCACACCATTCGCTGTGCCCCTCTTTCGTCGAGTTAGTAAAAACCCCATTCAAGTAGTCTGAGTTTTATGACCGGTCTTGCCCAATGCCCGAGTTTGAGAAAAGCAATCTATTCACAGTTGTAATCGCCAGTTATTGTAGTCCAGGAAAAAGTTAGAAGAATGAAAGTTTTTCTGGTACATGCCGACAATTTGATTCATCGATGACAGAGGCAGGCGCATGCGCAAAGTATCGTTTCCCTTGTCAAGACTTTGTTTTGACATCAATAGGAAATTCTGTGGGAAAGTATGAACGGTGCTCCCGGGTGCCATCTGTTCGCACGTCCGCTGTCTGATTAACTCATGAAATTAGTTTCCTGATTATGCGGGAAACATTTTCAAATCATTAATGCAGCGAGGAATGTTTCAAAAGGAGTGGCACCTGCCGTCTTACCTAGCGGTTTCTATGAAAGTAATGAAGTATTGGAATGGCTATACAGAGCAGGAAGCCCCGAGGAAACGATGAAAGTTTCTCACCAAAATGGTTTGTCGCGCTTGGTAGTGTGCGACGGGCAGAATTTTTATGAAGGAATACCCTCATTTCCTGATCTTCCTGCAACTGGCATCGTGAAATTAGACGTCCACGTATCCTGACGGGGATAAGCGAAAGAAGAGGACTACATGAAGCAGTGATGTAATAACCGAATTCAGTGGGAAACCATTTTTCGTCTTGTTCCCTGAATCTATTATATTCAATGTAATTTATTGTATGGGGTGGTGCCAGACTTTGGGGGTTCCTAACCTCATTCTCAGTTTGATTTCACGTGGCTTAAAACATATATGTCCCCTAGATGTAATCTATCACAAATGTCAAATTGTTCTAAACAAAACTGGCACGACTTTATAAATTTTCATGTCGTTGCTTTTTTTTCTCTCAGGTTTTCAAAATGAAGAGTTTTTTACCAAACGTTTGAGCCAAGATGGCCGACACATGGATACACTCTATCGGGACTGATCTTTGAATTGCTTTCAAAACAAGTCATATCTACAATGAATCGAAGGCTACGTGACAAGATAATTATAAATCAATGGCTGTGCTATTGCGAGTGACTAGTACTTTTCAAGAACTCCATTAAAACGAACGAGAATATTATCCCCATGGAGCGGATGGGATGGATGATAAAAGAGAATTGCATCGGCGCGGAAGGGATAGTGGTCTGATGGACGATTTTATACTTTTGCTTTGTTTGGTGCCACGTCCAAAGAGGCATAATTTTATACGGCTTCGGCTCTCTGCCGTGGTCGGTCAGCGGGAAAAATCTAGGCCGTATAGCCGCAAAATGCCCGATTTGGAAACAACCGCCAGTCAGGAGGTTTAATGGCACATGATCTATGCGGTTCGTAAGTGTGACGTCACTTCAGTTTAAACCACGCCCACTGCACATAGAGTTGAGGCCGGGTTCATACTTTACACGAAAAATAACACAAACACGGATTCGTGACGTCAAATCAAATGTCCGCGCTACGAATTCGCAAAAGCACCAACAATATTTAACTCGAGTGAAAGTTTCTGCAATTCTTTTATGACGTCATATTCGCTTGGCTTTCTCGTCTGCCTTTAGTACAAACCGGCCTTCATTATCAACGTCGACTCAATGGGCTGCGCGCGCATTCCTTCATTAGCTCCTGGTCGTGTTGAATACGAAAATAACGCTGGCTATTCAGGATACATAAATGTAAAGTCAATCGCACACGTATTTCAAAAGCTGCACGCTCGCGCCCTCGTATTTTCCTGCACCTCACGCACCCGCAAATCTGCGTCGTGCGTAAACAGACTGACTAAAGTCCTAATTTGAATATCCCAAAATAGAAGGATGTTTGAATTATACAATACCAGGGGTTAGATTGCGCAAGGCATGGTCGGAACTAACATGGTGCGGCAAGATCGTACCCAGAACAAAAGAGGGCGTTATATGGAAGGGTTGCGTAGCACCGTGATCAGAATATCGACAAGACTATAAGATTAAATCAGTGCTCTGAAATATGTAATTGCCGAGCTTTCGGTAACTGAGTACCTTCTTCAGGGCAAGCAGATTCAGTTCAGTAAGGATATGCGCATTTGACGCGGAGCACGCTGAGTACGCGTAACTTATTTATTCCGGAGTGTATCGTCTTTGCGTACGGGCAGAACGCGTGGAAGAGCCCGCTTGTAAACCAGCTGTCTTTCTTTCGCTGATTGGGTATACCTGCTCTTCAGCTCGGCGGATAGACCTTTTCACAAATAAACTCATAATTATGCACGCATGCGCTCAAATGGCCTTGGCAGCAAGGGCCGTTGAAAATGTACAGGGTGCGATTTTTTATCATTTTCTCTCAGGTTTTCTGACTTTGTTCAGTTTTTGTCTTCAGAAAATCCCACTAAATCGTTTTTGCTATAAGTTCCTAATCTAAGCGAGATTTTTAGCACCCTGTAAAAAGCTTGCACAATCGCGATTTTTCCTGTGCGCGCGAGATGAAGCGGGGAAAATGAATTTGTTAGTGAAAAGGTTTATAGCACTTCAGGCATGACCTTTAGTCCGTTATTCTTCATTCAAGAAGCTGACGACTTCCCAGGGGAAAGGTTGAACTCGAGGAAACGCTAATGGGCCTTTGGGGTGGGTGGAACGCGGTCGGGGAGGAGGAGGGTACCAGGTTGGAAGTCTGTGCATGGATTTTTACCCCATAATGAATTACGCTTCGGTTCACACTCTCACTTTTCTCACTGTTTGTCTAATTTTTTTTTTACTCTAGGTCCGAGATCGGCGCTGTTCGAGGAACGCCTAAGATGATGCAATCAATTTTGCAACACGTTGACAAGACCTGCGCATTCCTACTATGTCCCGGTTTATGCGACTCGGGTACGCAAGCTTGGACAAGAGTTGTGTTCTTTGAACGGAGGGCAGAGAGATGTCATATCCCGTCGTAGGCGGTGCAGACTGCAAGTACTGACCAGTCAGTGCGTGCACTCCTCTATGTGCCCTGTACCCATTCCAGTCCTTGCTGGTCCAGAACTGTTGGAGGAAGATACTGCCCGCGCATGCGTGAAATAATTTACAGTGATCGCTCTCTTTTGAGGGCCGCATGCCGCTTCAAAGCGAAAGGAGCAAACTCGATTTGTTTTTTCAGGCTATTAATATCCTCTCAGTCGATCACACAGGGAAGTCAGCGGTCGTTATTCTATCAGGAGCGCTTGGTGCAGAAGTTGAAGGAGTTTATTGTGATTCGAAGATAAAGAGAAAAGGCGGGCGGGAATTAAAAAAAAATGCTCTGTGGAGATATAGCGGCTACAGCGTGAGTGCAGTATCCTTCGGCGGCCGCCCGGTTTTCGATTAAAAATATCACAGGTATTCATTATTCAAGCGCCTTGGGATTGCCCGAGCTGCGGTAATCCAGCTGAGTGAGGTGGATACGCTCTGGCAAGTAGGGGGCTATCGGCGTGTGAAGGAAGCCATGGCCCTGCCAGCTACCGATCATTTAGACTACTGCATGTGGCAGAGTCATCAGTGTCGTCACCACCATCTCGGTGGATTTAGCGGATCGAGACGGACTAAGTCTGTGAGGGGCAGTCGTCGTGCGCCGCTCCGCGACGTCAGCAGTGGCACCGTGCTCAGAGACCAACGCCCGGGCGATGCTAGAACTCCGTCTGGGCTCGGCGGACAATCAGACATGACTGGACCGCGGTCCTCGGATTGGCAGAGGACGGGTCTGCTGGCCGTCTGGATTCTTGTCCTCGTCGGTAGCGTCGGGGCCGCCTCGGCCACCGTCCGAACCCGTAAGGTCGCCCGCATGGACGGCGACGTGATTTTGGGCGCGCTCTTCTCCGTCCACTCGCCGCCGTCGGAGGGCAAGGCCACCCAGCGGACCTGCGGTGAGATCCGGGAGGAGTACGGCGTCCAGAGGGTGGAGGTGATGATTAAGACCCTGGCGGAGATCAATCAGAACCCGACCATCCTCCCCAACATCACAATCGGCTACGAGATTCGGGACTCCTGCTGGTACTCCTCGGTGGCCCTGGAGCAGAGTCTGGAGTTCGTCAGCGACAACATCGGCGCGACCGGCGGGAGCGGTGCCGCTACCGGCCAGCACCCGGCGTCTTCCCGGCCGGCACAGGACCAGTGCCTCCCCGCTGACGGTGATGCCGGGACCAAAGTCCCCCCTCGGAAACCCATCGTCGGCGTCATCGGACCGGGTTCGAGCGAAGTGGCCATCCATGTGCAGAACCTGCTGCAGCTGTTCAACATTCCACAGGTTGCCTACTCGGCGACGAGCAAGGATCTTAGCGATAAAACCCTATATGAATACTTCATTAGAGTGTGCCCATCTGATACACTGCAAGCCCAGGCGATGGTGGACATCGTGCTGCGGTATAATTGGAGTTATGTCTCTGTCGTCCACACTCTTGGTAAGTGAGTTTACCTTGCATACTGGGTATTACTGAGCTCATTGCTTAATCCAGCCGAATCCAACAACAGCCTAACAGGAAGTGTATTGATACACTATCAACAAAGTTCATTCTCTGATCAAAGCAAAAAAGTAATATTTTGTAGGGTCCAGAGCTGGAAAAGGATCGATTCTTGCATTTTTATTTTCCAGTCTGGTGTTGGCATCAATCCAAAACTTATCCATTTCCCTCAGTGTTTAAATAAACAATTAAGGTTACACATATGACGACATTCACAATAAACCGATTGCGCCCGCTAAGCACGTGACCTCTAGTGGGTATTAAATATCAACAAACACGGCGCCCACCAAAAGCAAAGTGTTTTCATAAGACTTAGGCTGCCTCCGAATATGTTGTGTAGAGCTACACTGTAGGTCTAGGTCTTCGCTTCATTAGAAATACGCGGAGACGGGCAGACAGAAGACCTAGCCATAGCTCTGGAAGCCGGTTTCGGACACGGCCTCGGTATCATTTACCAAAAAGAAAGTCGACGGTAGGTACTGTACGTGGTACTGCTGGTGTGCTTGGTGCTATACCATTACTTGGCTGGGTTGTTAGTTAACACCCAAAACACACATTGCTATGGGGTTGATATCCACTATAGGTCACGTGATTTAGCGGGCGCAACCGGTCTATTAGACTGTACTTTTAAGACTGGGAAAAAGGTCAAAGGTTGCCATTCTGCCTCACCATGGAACGTTAAGCTTTATTTTAAAATGCACAATGTTAAGGTTTCCATTTTGAGGTAAAGCTGCCCTTTGATACCTAAAAAGGATCGTTATCATGTAATTCACTAGTACGGAAGAATCACTGAACAGTAGCACACTTTGTCGAGTTCCGAATATATCTTTTTTTTCCCCCGACTGCGTGACCTCTTTCCCCATGACCCTTCATTTACGTTGCCCCGCTTGTCCAATCTCTGGGTTTCACACTGAACACACTGCCGGTTTGTACAGGCTTTCACGGTTCTTTCCTGTTTTTCGCAACCGAAGTCAGGACTCAAAGCTGTGCCGAATGACGTAATGCGCGGAAGATAGCCGGACGATCCCCGTGCACGATACTTTATCACGAGATCATCAATGATTCAGTCCCTTGGAGTGTTGAACGCAAACTGGCGCCGTGGCTGTAAAGAGCTGAGGCAGGGTTCAAGGCGTCCATGTGCGAATGTTTTGCGGTGCAGACGCGACGAAATAAAAAGTGCATATTGTATCATTCTGCGCAGTATGGGGCAATTCCGCTGGGTGATGTTGAGCCGTCGTTGAACTGAGCAGGAAAAAAAAGACTTTGCTTAAGGTTCTGCCAACCAGAAAAAGGGGTTGACCATCTGCCGTACTAGGGCCCCTTAAGTGTAAGAGCATGGAAATTGGAGGTAGGACTCAGCGTTTGGCCAAGTAGAAAAAATAATTTGTTCAGCGTGCACGTCCATTTTATTGGTGAAGGGAGTCGTTTTCTCTCCATCTGAACAATACCCCCTAAGCCACTACATTTATGTGTGAGAGATACGACAATAAAATGAATAGCGTGTAGAACAACCGACTGAGCATTTTCGATGTAAACCTGATATAGCCGTCTTGAAAACAGGTTACAGGATATGTTAATAAGCCCAGACATAGAATTGTACATTTATTGCGAAGGTAATTGGAGCTGTTTCTTTGTTGTTTATGCATTAATGCTTCGTTTAGAGCAATCCAAACATTTAACCGTAAAACATGCTGGCTGTGTTTCTTCCTTTGGTTTTCCGAGAATATAAACTTAATCCACGGGTCTAATCAAATACCGCACTTCCATATTCACTGTTATCCCATGCATAAAGTTTAAAAAAACCCACCCCGTTGAACCTGCTGGTCCCCCTCAACCAAGAGAGAACATTTCACCGCAGCGCAGGTAATTTTATCCCGTCAACTTTACATGGGCCGTGCTTCTTATTTATGGTGGCATAATTCACCTCGATGCCTTTCCTTAAATTCGAAGGACCACTTTACCGGGGCTATTTACTAAACCACTTACACGTACACAAATCAAAACTGCAATATCTGTCTGGCACTGATAATGGGGCGATGCCGCAGTTGAAGGATTCAGTCCATTTCCGTTTTTTGTTTTTTTGTTTTAGTTTTTTTGTTTTTGTAGTGAGAATCGAGTGTCGTGAGTAATAACACTAGTCTGTAGGGTTCCCGCACTGTAAAAACTCTGGTGTTGAAATCAACACTTTTTGGTGTTATCAGATGAACACACCATAGGGTATTATTTTGCACACCTATAAGTTTTACAATGCACTGGAGGGTGTTAAAAGTAAGACCAAATAACACCAAAGTTTTTAACACCAGTGAAAAGTGTTTGTGTTGTCCTCTGATAACAGGGTGTTAAATTTTACACCCCAGGTTTTGCAGTGCATGTACATCGTGGGCTCTCTAAATATAAAAGAATGACACAAGGGACTAGACGTTTTAGACTGAAAATCACTCTGAATGTAGATTGAAATAGTTTGAAAGAGAACCCCTTTCAGTAGAAACTCGATTGATATTTGATCTGTGGGATGAAAAAAAATTCACTCGAATTCGTCTGGTCCCTCTTTCAGTCGGAGGGAGTGAATTTGCAATCCAATGGAGTGAATTTTTCAGTCTGGGGGAACCAGACCATGGGTTTTGGTTTACACATTCATTGCAACGCGCATGCGCATTCGTCCGATCGGTCCAGCTATCACTATGATAATGGACTAGGAAAAACTCTTTCGTTTTTTGGGCTGGTAACTTTGACTGTTAGTCAATTTCTCTGAGACACGTTCCTTGTAATTAATTATACATGTAGTTGGTGCGTGAAGTGCTTTTAAAATTGCAGCATGTGGCCATGACAAACTGAAGTTCTGTTCTGAGCTTTGAAGCTTCTGACGGTGAAGGTAGCAAGTTAGTTACAGATGTTTGAAGTAGCACCGTGCAAGGATATCTCTTTCGTGAGCATGTGTGGCAGAACCGGAGGGTTCCATCAACGTTCTTTTCAGAACCAGACATGCTCAAAAAGAGATATCCTCGCACGGTGCTATCGCAAACCTCTATAACTAAGTTGTGTTCCCTTTCTGAAATCGTGATTTTTTTCAGCCTTGGACTTCTTTTTGTCTGGATTTTTTTCAATCGAATTGCCATTTCCCGAAGCGCACAGTGCAATGCATGCAGACATTTTTACACAGATCTATTTGATTAATCATTTCTGTCTGTCATTTCTCAATAGAAAAGTCGCAAGCCTTTTCTGTGAAGCCTAATCACACGAATCATGATTGATGATCAGCGTTACTTATGTCAGCGTTCTCGCCGATAAGAATTCAAAGGTGTCAAAAAAGTCACCTCTTGCGAGGATTCTTGGTTGATTGTAATCATAGTTTACATTATAAACAATCCATGGTTTCACCTTTGTATCAAGGTGCAAAAACCACATGACAAATTACGAAATTCACACAAGTGCGGAACCGTAGATATGGTCCAGGTACGTACATTACTATACAGGTACATATATATATGCAAATAATTAAAGAGCGAGCTAAAAAAAAGTTGGTGAAGGACAAACCCATTTGTCCACTTTTATTAAAAGTTGCCAATGGAATGTTAAGCTTTAATTTGCAATGCATAATTTTAAGGTTTCCCTTTCGATGTAAAGGTTCTTTGACTGATGGGGACATCGATTTTTTTTTCTCGAAAAGTTTCACATATAGCGAACTAGTCGACGGTAAGGCCCTGTTCTTTCAGTGGCACGTCAACACGGACTGTTATCTCTACATTTTGAGATGCTGACGTAGCAGAATTGTTATCAGTTGTGTGTATGTTCTCACGCATCCTCAAGCGAGCGCATGCGCGCCTCGGGCTTAGACATTTTAATTTGTAGGCCTGTTTTGTGCACGATATGGTCAGTGATTGCTTAAGTGACATAGAAGACTTTGGTCGAGCTAATTCTGTTTTTACTAGATAGGTAATAACATAAGAACTAACTTAGGTTGAGTGAGCAGGACAGCACATACATGTACGCGGACCCCATCATAAACGTTGTGAACTTGACGCCTTCTGTAGTCTGCGACACCTGCATTTTTTGGCATTCTTCAAATGGCAGAAATTATTGCGCGCTCAAGTTAGATTGGAAATGACGTCTTTAATCCAAAGTGGGTCTTCTTATTTGAACATTTACTCTACAACCTGGCATACCGACCCTGGCTCAGAATGATCAACGTTCAGTTCACGATATTACTGAATTCTTTGTCAACATGAAACAGCTTGTATGTGATTCCATTGGAGTCGTGATTTTGTTCACAGTGTGCAATTGCATTGAGTGCAATACATAACGTAAACGCCGACACTGCTGAGAGCCTTTTGGCCTAGTTTCGCTTCATGTGCTTACAAACTCGAAAATCCCTGTAGTCATTCCGTTCTTACAGTTTATACTGGTTTCAGTCACTGTTATGTTTCGCTTTAGATTTCAACACTAGTCACCCTGAAAATCTCAACCGGAACAAGCGTCCGTACGCACCAGCCAACTTCTCGCGTTAATAAGATCATGAGAGCTTATTATTCCTGGATTTGCCATAGTGATATTGTCACCGTGTAAGCGCTTCAAAAACGCCATTGAAAGAGTATAAGAGTGTAAAAGTACTATAAAGCATACCTTATGAGACCACCTTGACATTTGGTGTCGCTTTTTGAAAAGCAAGAAAGAAATCACACGACGCAACTTCGTAAATTTTGAAACGATTATCTGCGCACGGTATAGCGACGCTAATGCGTACTTCACTCCATCGGTTAAATAAGGAAAGAGATTATTTTACGATATTTTTGTCCCGCTTTTGTTGTGTGCGTTATATTCCTTGAAATGCCTTTCCAGGTATTTTCTTATGATATAATGAGAATAATGTGAAAGGGCCATTTGCCTCATGTCTCCTATTTCTTGCGATATGAAATATTAAGATAGGTTTACAACTGCACAAA